AAAAAAAAAAAAAAAGGAAAAAACTGGAGTTCTTGGAACCCTTTCGTACTGAAATTTTCATTAAAGATAGTTCTTCAAATAGGTTTGTATGAAGCCTTATTTGAAATTTATTTTCACATTGACCTTATTGCAGAAAATTTTTTTTTAAAACTTGTCAGATGCTGTTTCACTGGAATACTAATTGCAATTAGTACTCTCAGCTGTTTGAAAATTAAGATTTAGGATTGCTCCCATAAACTTGTGGTCCAGTATCGGGAGCCAAGTGGTGGAACAGTGTACAGAAACAGCTAGTTGACCTCAGAAGGCAAGCTCTCGGGACTGCAGTCGCTTGAACTGTGGACTGAAGCGCTCCCCTCCTCACCTGGCAGACTGCTGTGCTGGAGGGAGGTACACAGCACTGATGGGCTGAAGTGGGAGCTCCTTGGCCAGCGCAACAGCACAGAAGTAAAACAAAGCGATAGTTCAGAAGCAGGCAGGCCGTGTGGAATTAAGCCACGAAATCTTGTGCCTCAGAGAATCGTAGTAACCCTGCTGAGAGTTTTAGTGGACTTCGGTAGTTTGGTCTCCTTCCAGGTTCGGGGTGCTGGACGGTGCAGAGCTCTGGAGAATCCGAGTCACAGTAAGGCTTGCCAGTTTGTCAGCTGAGAAAGTAAAAGCAACTGAATCCAAAAAGCACAGCAGTCGGTGTTAGGCTTGCATCGCAGAGGCAGAGCCGAGGACAGCAGTGCTCATGTGAAGCACTTGTCATGAGCCGTTCAGCTGCACATTTAGGAATTTTACAATTCATTGTTTTCAGGGGGTGCTTACAGACACAAAACAATTCACTTCGGCAAGCTGAGCTAAACCTGAATGGGCTAACTCATCTACCAGTGTCAAGGGGAGCAGGGAACATGTTGGGGATGTTGAACCTGAGCAGGAGCACGTAATCCTTAAAACCACAGTGTGAAATGGCATCTCAAGGAAACAGTAGTTTCTTTTATACCGGAAGAGCAGCAAGACTTCTGCGGTACAGGTATCAAATCCCGAGCTGGCTGATGGCAAGGAAGGCGGTATTTTGCAGAGCTAGTGGGGGCCCCTAGGAGAAGCTAGTGCACTGGCCAGAGGGGGCAGTCCATGACTTCCCCCGCACCTGCTGTCCCGCTCCCCTCGAGAGGCCAGTTTAATCTCCCGCCATCCCTCCAATACTCTGCAGCTAAACCCAACAGAAGGCAGCAGGCAAAGGACCATGGAGCATGTGCTGTACAGCTTTCGGGTTCCGAGGGGAGCTCAGAGTAGGAGCAGGAAGGAATTCTGTACCCGGCTCTCTTTCTATCCACAGACGCCTGGCGCTAGTGTTGTGCAGAATAAACTGAGCAAAGCTGAGTCACTCAGTAAGAGATCCAAGCGGGCACATATGCCCTCATATTTTGAAAGTAAAACTGTAATAGAAGCTTCTGTAGTAAATAGAACAGCTTTTTCATGTCAGTGGAATGAACCAAG